TTTTTTTTTTTTTTTTTTCTTATCGGGACCCTTTTTTAATCAATCTCGTATGGGATTTTAATGATTTTACATAAAATTTACAATGCTTAAACAATCGAGGGATATTCTGAAGGCGCCTGTGGATATTGCGACACGTGCATCTCTTTGTATATTTTATTATCGTATTTTATATATGTAAATAATTTGAATTGCAAACGACGTCGTCCACACGTGCTACGTGCATCGTGTCGTATTAATAATACAGGCGTCCCGACGCCCTCGCTTGTCTGCTCGATGCACGTGCTGATATTTCACAATATAATTATATTATGAATTTTCAATGACCGATAGCATCGACGAAATTTTATTAGTCGATATTAATTTTCAGTTTTTTTTATTTTTTTATTTTTATTAAAATCAATCGGGTAAAATTCGAAGATTGCGCTACTTTGTTATTAACAATGGGAGGAAGATGGGGGGATCGAGGAAGCGACAGCCACTGGCAGAAAAGCCCGATGAAAATGTAAGGTTCGCGAAGAAATAAAAAAAGTTTAAAAAATTGAACAGATACAGACTATCGGCTTTAGGGTTAGTTTCGAATTCGATTCCCGTGATGATAAATACTGTATGGGTGTATCCCGAGTTACAATAAGAAACGGCAATAGGAGCAACAGCAACAAGAGAATTTGCTTGCTCGGTGGAGCAGGAAAAAAAATGTATTGAGCATGAAATTGCTCTAGTTCCCATCAAACTATCTTTTCAAGCCGGCACTATCTAGACTAGATCTACTACGGCTAACATGGGCGTCATGGCTGCCGGAGCATCTCTATGTGCGCCATTAGCGAAAACGTATACATTATAGAATTAAAGTTTAATCCCCATGAAACCGCGATGCTCAGAGTCCCGCTGGCTCGTTTGCTCACTTGATCTATTGCACCTTTTTCAATCGGTAGCTCGTCTTATCGTCTGAGCTTGCTCGTTCGATCTGCTCATTTGCTCATTCGCTTCCCCCTGAATTATTCTCCATCAGCCAAGAACCGTTTCCTGCTATCAATTATCTGGCCAAGTCCGAAAAAGCAATTAGCTCAATTTTTCTTAAACTTATCATCGATTCCACGGGAACTTTTTGACTTTGTTTCTCAACCCCAAAAAGGTGCCCGACTTCGCCGCCGGAGCAGCGGATGCTCATTGGCCCGATTAGTCCGAGTGACGTAGGAGCTATGAACTTTTCGGATTATTCGATTTTAACGATACTTTCCTCTGACACAGAAACAAAACCAGCAACGCCCGATCGGTTTTATTCCTCGTTGTTAACCGCTAGAAATAATTAGCCTAGCCGTACCGACGCTCGGCGTCGCTGGCCCAGATGCCGTCGGGAAAGTGCCACTGATTTATTTGTCTCGACGTGCCTCCGTGATGCCCGACTCGGTCGGAGGCGAGGAAAAAATAAAAATGAAAAAGAGAAAGAGAGAAGACGAATAAAGCAGAAATTAAGCCTGGATAGCAATCAAGCGACGGATAGAGAGAAGGAAGGTAGCGAGACGGCGACGGGTCATCATTATTCCATACATCAGGTAGCCTAGCTCCAAACTCTTTCTTGAGCCATCGGCTCTTCGAGTTCGCTCGGCGTGTTTCTCTTTCGCTCGATTGCTCAGTTTCTCGCGTGCCTTTCAATCCCCATATAGTCGCTGCCGGCTAATCAGCGTCTCGGCAATCACGATATTATCCCTGCGATGTACGGATGGACGTGAGCCAGTGCTGGATTGCTTTCTAGGAATGAGTGACGAGTGGTTTTTGAAAAAAAAAAGAAAAAAAAATGCAAATGCTTAAAAAATTATGAAAAGAGAAACCTCGCGTGAAATTGCAACTTGCTCTGCAGTTTCGTCGTTTATGAAAAGTGCACGTGGCGCAGGTACAGATGCATACGCGGCTATTCTACCCGTTGCCGTCTGGGCTCGTGATTTCTATTTTCACTTACTTGTGCCAGATCGTGTCTCTACGGTCAAGGGTCATGGAATAATTTAAAAGCCATTTTTTTTTTGCTCGCTTGACATTTTTTTATTCAAAGCTACTTTCGAGATTTTCTATTGTTGCTGCTGAAACTTTGAATTTGGGCCAACGTGGCTGCGTGATTTTTATGTGGGGCTGGATTAAATATGATGTGTCTACTGGCAACTGCTGTGGTCCTATGGGGCAGGGATGATCGTTGGTTGGATGGATGAAAGAATGGTTGGATGGATTGTTGGATGAATGGTTGGATGGATTGTTGGATTGATGGTTGGATGGTTGGATGAAGGAATGGATGGTTGGATAGATGGATGGTTCGTTGAATGGTTGGATGGATGGATGGTAGTCAGACGCGATGCTGACGTCGAGTGGCGAACGAATGGAATTCTTGGTGTGTGCAAAAAGGCTGATTGACAAAGTGCAAAACATTCTCTACCTCTTGGCCTCTTATTTTTATCTTTGTTCCTCCTGCGACTTCCTAGATCGCAGCATCCTGGCTGCCATTGTCCTCGCGTTGCAGCGTGCATCGACTTACATATATAGATATACGCGTGTGCAACTTCAACGAGATTGCGATTACGGACTGTGACTTGGGATATTTAGAGATAAATTCACTTCCGTATTTTCACTTTACCCGTTTTGTGGAATTTTCATTATCTTCGATTTTCTGCATTCCTTTCTCCCATCAAATATTAACAGACTTTTTTACTTTGATCGTATCTATATCCATGCACGCATGCTTACTTTTGCTTTTCGTGGATTTTTCATCAATTCCAAGAGACGCTGTGTGTGAGTTATGCGATACATGGTACAAAGAAGGAAGATGACTGGAAGCTGCGGAGGCGATGGACCGCAACGTTCCCACAGACAACTCTATACCCATCTTCCTGTTTCCTATTCCTCATATTCTGACTTGAATATATAAGGTGTTGCGAAAGTCCCTTATCGTGATTGATAATACATACGATGCATTCCGCTATCCTCGACGGGACGATTGGTAGAATTTACGAAATGTCACGTAACATCAGCAAATTTTTTTTTTTTTAATTTTATGACTTCCTGAAAATTATTTTTATTTTTTTTTTTTTTACTCTACTCACTGTAGTCCCTTTCGCGCTTGTATGCGCTCCTGTGTACGTGGGTTCGTTGACCTTGGAATTTTTTGTCAAGATCCGATATTGAAACATGAAAATTCACATGTAAATGGATTCTTTTTTGATTTTACAAGAGATCCTTATCGTGGATTGCTTTTGAAATGAAAATGATATACCAATCACAGAAAATTTCATGACTGAAATTCAAGTGAGGAACGAGAACGGAAGTTTCGAATGGCGAAACGAGTTCCTCTTTAATATAAGAAGGATAAAATAAAAAGGATAGAGGAAAACTCAAGCAAAAATCAAGGAGCACTCTATTTTCCTTACACGCGGAGGATATATAAATAAGGTATAAAATTACGTCTGCAGGATACACAGTGAAATGAAAGCACCGTCGTTATGTTATATAGGCTTCCGGGAAAGTTTGTTAAGGCTCGGAGGGTGTATCTAAGAAAAGTACTTCACGAGTCGTAGATGAAATCGTATCGACTAACGTCCCTTTTCAGGCCAACCTGCTTCTATAGCAAATCCCATGAAATATTTATAAAAATTGGTGATACTTTGAAGTTTTGTATTTTTGATACGTTCAAACGACTGATGGAAAATTAAATTAACAAGTCAATCCTAAGTCTCGATAACATCTGCAAAGGGAATACTTTTAATGTAACTTATGAACAGATTGCGCCACGTAACTGTGTAAATGAAATCCCTACATTACCGGCTGCGTTTAACAAACTGAAATGTGTATATATATATATATTTAATATGCATCTGAGAAGTCGGTGAAAACAAATATTTTCTCAATTCGTTTATCACTAGCCTGATAATATTTTTCTTACTTACTTTACTCATTTAAACAAATAACCATTGAGATCTTAATAAACTTGTACACAGCTTCTTAACAGTATCATGATATACTTTATTAAATTAGGGAAAAAAAAAAAGAAAAATTATACAAACGTGAATTTCGTCGATATCAAATCAACGTAACGCTCATCGCGCGGTCGCTTACCAATAATGTTATACCTAAACGTGTAAATATATACAGATAATAATGGCATGAAGTGTTATAAAGGTTAGATCGTCAATAATAATAAAGTATAATAATTATAATAGTAATAATGAATATATAATATGTAAACTGACAACGAGTAAAATAATGGGCGATCGTCGTAAGTGCGTAATTACGATTATGAGGAAAGAGAAGGGAGGAGTTGGTGAGGAGACTCGGAGAGGAAGTAGAGGAAGAGAGGAAGGGGAAAACAATATTATTATTAATGGTATAAGGTAAAAGAGACAACAAATATCTCTAAAGGAATGTTCTATACAGTTGTCTATACAAATAACGAAAATCTGCACGTCGTAACAGAATAACACCGTATTGTCGCACACTTAACATTATCATCCTCATCACTTTAAAGCTTTTTTTTTATGTCCTGCCGATAAAGATAAGACGTACGTTCGCGTCACCCTTCGCATTTTCTTTTTGTTACCATACCATGCGCGTACAAAGACACGTGCACACGCACACTCGTTCATAATTTTGAAGTTCAATCGATTTTTCAAAGATTCTCTTCCCCCCTCCCCGTAATAATCGTTAGCACCCTCGAGGAATCTTAGTTTTTCAAACAATCGAATCCATCGCGAGAGTGCTCAGTCGCTTGCGCCGTCCGCTGCATTGTCCGTGGCGCCACTGACCGACCGAGCAGTTTCCAAAGCGTTACCGGCGGTCGGTAAAACAGAGAATTTTAAATTTCAACGCAAAGCACGCTCTACTGTGCCCATAGGTATCGGGTGTTAATGATCGTGTCACGGACAGTCAATAAAATGACAATGGGCTAGTTGGTAATGACGACGGAGGGAGTTTTAATAGCGAGTGGGCACGTGAAGCACGAACGCACGGGTACCTTTTTTGACGGAGGATTTACGTAATCGGTACCTTTCAAAGGGTATAGACCGGTTCGGTACGATGGGACGGTACGCAGTAACCGCTGTAGGTCTTGATTTCGAGAACTCCGGAGTATGATCTTGCCGGTAATGATCCTGGATCCGTGTGTCTTCTTGGACACCTGTGTCCCTTGGGACATTGGCACAATGGGGACGCGTTAACTTCCTCCAACTGAGAACTTCGTCTCTTGCGCACCGTGAACAGTCTGCACGGTTCCTTGTGCTGACAGCTTAGCCTCTGTAAGAAAAAATGAGGAAATTTAAATTTCCAGCTCATAGCTTCGTTCCCTTTCATAGACCCGCATCTCGGAAAGATTACGCCGTACGACGAGGAACAAGACTATACTCACGCTCTGAGGAGAACAAGCGAAGGCGTAGATGAAACCAGGATTTCCTTCGGGCGATCTGTGTGGTTGTCGTCGGACCAGGTAGGGTACGCTACCTGGACGACATCTACAGTGCACCCGTTGCACAGTAGCATTTCCAAGACCACCGCCAGGTGCCAGTGTCCACGTAACATCCCTACGAATATAATAACGATCAGTCCTCGCAGTCTCTGTCGCGAAGATGAAATTGACTTAAACAGAAAAGAAAATGAGACTCACTTGAAGTAACGACAAATCGGCAAACGCTTGACCGGCTCGCACAGTTTGTACTGTCGCGTCTTGTCGACGATTGTGTGTCCGTCATCGGCATGAAGACTGCTCGGACAAGAACGACCTCCTGGACAACGACACTGTCTCTCCACCCAGGGTGCCCCGTAGAGATCGACTTTGCTGCATACCTCGCTTCGATCCGAGCACTCGGGCAATTCCTCCTCGCTGTCCTGAAGAAAAAGAACGATGAATAAACAAATGAATAAACGCACAGGGGAATCGAGAATGCTCCGAAGAAGAAATAGGGAATTGTAGTGCGCATGCGCCTTGGCTATGGTATGAATGGAGCCGGTTCGTCGTAGGCGCCATGAGAGTTGCACAACCGCAAGATAAAATGTGAGATTGACAAGAGAGCCGGCTATGGTGGGATTGCGCTTGTTATGGTGCTTCGGGAGACTAGAACGGAAGGCAACCGGGGGACCTAAAGGGGGAGAAGCAGAGTGGTCCAGTAAGGTGTTTTTGCTTGCGTGCTCCACGGGCCCTCAGCTTCCGGTCCAATAACCACCTTCACACACCGTCCACCGCGTTCACGTATGTTACATACGTGTTTATAGTGACTACGTGGCTGTAGTCGTCTCGTCACTCCCCCTATACCCTCCCCCTCTCATTCTCTCACACTCTTCAGCAATGTGCTCATACGTGACCGAGACTCTTCTTTGATTTTATACCAGGTGCTCGAGTCATCTCTCTTCAGATTTCTATGGTTTCATCTCTCTGGACCTCGTGGGTCTTCCTTGACAATCCCATAGCTTGTCTTACAGCGAGACTATGAAATTCCTCAATTTTTTACGATAGCCTCAACGCCTTATCAAATTTTGTATCATTTCATTCTCTTTTTTTTCTTTTTGACTGGGCCATTGTATAATGGCGGAATACAAAACTCGCGTCTTGCGCGTTTATCGTTTTTACCCGAAAGCATGAAAAAAAAGTCTCTTTCAGTTATTTTATCTTATTCTTCGTCGTTTCAACAGGCGATATCTTTAACCGCCTTACGAACCTCGTAAAACTTCCTCTTTGGTCTGACACTCGCTACCCCGGATAGACCTGAACCTGACTACCGGCTTTACGCCGCTGCTCTTAGCTATTCCACGCGCAACCTCAGATGCGATTAGGGTAAGCAGCCCTCGAGTTTTATACATGAATAATTTCTTACACCCGAAAACTCTTACGGATTTTCACAGGATTCGTAAATACTTCTTCCGTCGTGACAAAAAAGTGTCTGTTTTACATAATATGGAGCACGTGTAATTTTGCTCGGCACTACGATCAGTCAAATTGACATACTTCGCTACTTGTTGCATTATACGTCAATATTTTTTGCCCAATATAGTCAATCTTGTATTGCTCTTTGTACGATCGTATAAACGCTTATGTACTACCTTCTGTATTGTACAGCCCTGGTTATGAAGTTTTTTTTTTTTTTTTTTTTTTTTTTTTTTTTTTTTTTTTTTTTTTTTTTTTTTTTTTTTTTTTTTTTTTTTTTTTTCATGAGAACGCGCAGGAATGTTTAGAATGCCGTCAGATAGCTCGACTCGTTGCTACCTAGGTATACATAAGGGGGAAACGTATGTGTATCTATACATAGATAATGTATATAGGCGTGCGTGGTCACATGGGGATGTGCCTTGATATATATAAATATCTAAAGGCATTTATATACTTCACGTAGATAGAACGACCTTCCGGCCCTGACTTAATCACGGTGCCCAACGTTTTTTAATTCCCTAAGTAAACCTGCCATTTTTTACCCCAACACGCGTCCCGATAAGAATTCGTCAGCCGTGCCTATAATATATCCTAAAGAAATGTCTCACAGTGATCATTGATCGGGAATTGAAAGATATAGGGAATTTTTTAATATATCATGGGATCCGGTGATCCTGGCAATGAAGGTACGCTAGGGTGTTAAGGCGCCGGAAGTGCAAGGACGTAATCCGAAAATCCTATTATAGGCTGCCGGAATGATCGTAAAGTCGCGGAGCAGACTTTTGGAAGAAATTCGAGTTGAATTCGATTCGTCCGTCGAAATCCTCAATGATCAATAAAAGCGACTGACGCTTATTGATTTTCGATAAATTCCGCCGATAATTTCTTTCGTACGCGCCGAAGACATCCCATGGACGTTCCGTGGACTTCCATTGTCTCGGAGCCGTTGCGAGTCTTAATGATAAAAATAATAAGACCCGCAAGAAGTGAATAGTCACGGGGATTGCCTGGCAGGATAATGAAAAAGGGAGAATCTTGAAATAGGCGCGATTCCATAAGGTTTCCGTTTCCGGGTGGACTTTTCTCGCGGTCACGTGTTTCTTAGCGAGTCCGATTGGTAAAAGGTGGGACTCAGGCGGCGGAGAAGGGAAAAAAAGAGAAAGACGAATGGGGCCACAAAAAGGCCCCCGGACCGAGAATTAGTCTCTGCCGGTAGTGAAATAATGGCTGAATAGGCTTCCTTTAAGAAATGGCGGAAGTCTGCGCACAGAATGAACCGGAAGACCCCACTCCAACGGTCACAATGGCATAGCTAACCACGTGGTCCTTGCCACCGGATCAAAACATCCTTTAACCCTGCTGATCCTACCTTCCACAGGAGGTACCCGACCTAACGTTACCTGTACAGTCTTTCAAAAAGTGCACTCGCAGCTTCCAACCCTTAACACACTAATTCGCCACCCTTGAGATCCTCCAATTTCTTAGGTCACCAGTCTCAATTCTCCCGGCGGAAAGTAAGGTTGCGAAATTCAGGACGAATTCGATTACAAAAAATTGCAAACCAATTTTACAGTCCCAACTGGTTGCTTGATACCGGTTTGCACGGCGCTGCTACTTGGACCGATATTCACATTGTAACTGTGTGTAAAACAAAAATTACTTTTTTTTTTTCATTCCCATGGTAGCGATAAGTAGCCGTTGCTTCCAGTAATCATTTTACAATAATAATTAAGCCGCCTCGTTTAAAAGACTAGAGATTGTACTTTAATTGGCGAGACCCTTAACGAGTCGAGTCGTTACCGACAATTAAGCCGAAGATCGATCGTCCTGCCGCGTAACTATCAGCACTGCCAACATGCCAGTACACAATTCCCAATGAATACCCGGTAAGCTTTAAATAAGAAAGCTGAAAAATGTCCCGTACGTAATTCCATGGATTTTCTGTGAATTGACAATTTACTATATTCGCCCCTAACGAAGTTATCGTGAATTTAATCGATGGAGGTGCGATTGAAAAAAATTTCGTATCGATCACCCGAATGATGAAAAAAAAGAAATTTGGAACGACGCACAGACTCGAATATCTGGCACCAGACCGTAAAAGAACAGTCGGCTCTGCAACAGCTCCATTCAGAGGTAGTCAATCCAGTCAATGAGGCAATCACGCACGTCCTGTTGGGTTACGTCTACTATACGTGCAAACGTATAGGCCCTAGCAGCTCCTGTCAATCATCCCAATCACTTTTTAGTTGGCCAAGATTGACCGTGCCGAATGATCAATCAGTAATCCCTAACCTGGACCAATCTCCGAGTACCAGAGAGAGCAGATTGGTGATTTGAGTCGACGAGGGGAAAAACAAATTTGGGGAAAAAATTTGAAGGATACAAAACTCGAGACTGATCAATCTCGGTCGGTATTGGCGGATTCGATCGAGGGGTGGTACCACCGGGTCAGAGGAAAAGAAATCTTTGAGGAAATGGCCTTCCGCCGTTTAGCCATTAAGTCATTTCACTCTTTGCTTCGTTAGGTCCTCTTGTTATCTTTTTTTTATTAACAATTTTTTTCCAATCCTCGCCTTCCGCCGACGAGAGATTGCGCAATACGTTTAAAAGATCGGGACGTCGTATCCTCGCGAAGCGATCGATCGTGGCTCGGAGCGATCAGCTAGGAAAAGAGAAAGACGAGTAAAAAGAAAATAGCGAGGAGAAAGAAATTCCGAATCAGTTCTCGCGCGTCACTTCGACCCACATAGATCTGGAACTTTTGGATCGATAGATCGGTTCGTATTATTTTTCATCGATGGCCTTTCACTGGTTTGCTCTTTTTCTTATTCAATTTATTTTCTGCCTCTCCCACCTTAGTCTCACTCTCGACGTCCAATTAATTTAATCGAGCTGATCGTTTCGCTTTTGCGTCATTTGCATCCTCCCGATCGCACTGGACAGTTCGTAAACATTTTTCCAAGACCTTCAAGGTTCGCCAATCCGAGATAGAATCGACTCTCGCTCAAAATTCTCGTAACAGATCGCTCCTCTAGGTAGGTCGATCTTACAATAACGATCGTATCGATCGACCGTTTGATCCTTTCCTACGTGAATCGGCAAACCACGATCGTTAATTCATTGGCTGGTATATTCGATATAACGTGCGTCATTCGACTTCACCCTCGCCATATTAGGTCTTCGGTCTCTAAGATCAGCTGGCGAAACGTAAGCGGATGATTAACATACTTGTAGAAACATAGAGGAGCCACCCACTGCCATTTATGCAAAATTACATGCACGACCATGATGAATGGGACAGGATCAAGAAAAAAGAAAAAGAAAAGCATGACCATCTTCCGCCTCCGAGTATCATCGCTCTAACCGTTAGCGCTATCCACCCCTGACGTAGTCTGCTGGTAAAGCGATCGTCGAGGGTCGTAAAATTTCATCCCTTCTGTCCAGGACACATCCCTTACTTCCTGCAAAACCGAACTGTGAACCCTGACCCACATTCTATACGGTGAATGACTTTAAGAACGACGGAGGGTGAATGAATGAATGAATGGAGGAACGTAGCAGAATTGTAAAATGGCTCCGACGACTGAGTGAATGGATGAAGCTCGAAGGGAAGTTGGCCAAGAAGGGATGAATGGGGAAGGACTGGGTGTAGATATCTGGATACGGGGGGGGGGGT